TGATTAAAACCTAGAACCTGTACAGATCTTGATGTCGATTAAGTATTGTAGCCTTCTCAAGATATGGGGAAATAACTTATTCACCTATAATCTATTGAAGAAAAGTTTATAATCAAATCAATATTTAACTATTCAGTCTCCTTATGTGGAGGAGAAAATAACAACAAAAGCAAAAAGATATTTGTGATAAGAAGGCAAACCCAAAACAAATTGCTCATCTTTGATTTCTTTGATTGGCCATGTTTCAAAGCGCCCAAAGGGTGTCTGAGGAAAGTTCTAATTTACTTTAGAGTTTGTGGTGAAACATTCCACTGTCTTTGATGTGAAATGTGTTCACAAAGAAACACATGAGAAAAAGAAGAGTTGTGTGGTCGCTATCTGCATCGGTATCATTTCCAATGATGATTTGTATACAGTACAACAAAACGGTAACAGTAGATTTCTGAGTTATAGTTTTACTAGTTATGTAAGTTACTGGGATCTTCTAATATCATATGCTAAATAAAAGAATTTAATGTGTATCCATAATATGAGAGCAAAAATAAACATCTAAAGGAACGTTCACAAGCTCTTCACAAAGGTAAAAGGATCCCATTGCTCTGATTTTCAGATATGCTTAGAAAATATGTAATTCTGAAATATGTATTTTCAGATATGCTTAGAAAACTCGTTAACTCCTACCAGCAAATATGTGATTCTGAAATTGGCATATCTAAGACATATCTAATGTTTTCATCGGCATCTCAAACACATAAACATATTCTTTTGGGAACCAAACCTGCAATGCTGTTTCAGTATAGTATCCAGACAAGACAATCAACCCAAAACTGAGAGATAGGGGTGGGCGTTCGGGTACGAGTTCGGATATCGGGTAAAGTGCCCACCCCTACTCAGAGAGATTGGTTTTAACTAAAAGTTTAACTTAATTGTTGGTGGGTTGAGCCAGCCTATGCAGTAGTGCAAGACAAAGGCGACTCTTGAAAGCCCAGATAGCAAGCTATCTTCACGGACCTTCTCCCTCAAAAAATAGAGTTAATATCGTGTGGTCCGATGGACCACATATCAGATATTAAACTGATAAGAACAGATACTACACTTGATCTTAGCCAAAAGGCCGAGAAAGGTATGAATTGTTTTGTCCATCGAGCTTCCTTTATATACACTTCCTCCAAGAGTGAACAATTCATATTTTAGCGATGTGGGACAAATCAAACCATGTTTTGATTGTCCTCGACCAAATTGGTGTTTTCAAATTAGTGAATTAAATTAACTGCAATATGCAAAGAACAAATACATCGTAAGAACATTGTATTGTATACACTCTTTCGCGCCACCAGGTATCAAGGTCTTTCCATGGTGGTGGGCTAGAAATCTTCCACATGAGCTTTTGTATTAACTTTATTTTGATCAACTGTAGCTAACGTGAAACGTCATAACTCAGAATCATCAGAGCTTGAGATAGTTTTAAAACATATCCAACATCGGCAAACCACCTGGAAGCAAGAAGATACTGGACATACTGGATTTGATTTGAGCTTAAATGAAAAACTGTGTAGTCTCTGTGTCTTCTTGAATTTTTGGAAGCTGCTTTGATATTCTAAGAAGACCTGCACTGCTACCAAAAAAAAGTTTATACTTATCCTTTACTAGATAAATTAGCTAGTGCAGTAGATTCGTGCCACATTTAGCAGATGTTAATTACGGTTATCATTTGGCAGAGACTATATGGTGAGGGCGAATCGTTCACGTGAAGCTCTCAAGTGGAAAAGTGTAGTAATGAGAAACTAACCATTAGCTGAAGTTAGTTGGCTACTACTATCTCAAGCTTTGAATCAGTGACGCAATCTTCTTTACCAGTACTCATTTTCTTCAGGTACTCCATTTATAGAAAATCAAGAACCAAAGGGCCTTATCAATTATAGAATAAATACAGAAGTGTTGTATGTCTTTGTAGTCAACTCACGATGGTAAACTTAAAGACTGATCTTATCCAAAGTGACCTTCGCTTGAGTTAACTAAATTTTATAATCAAATCAAGATCTAAACTACATATATGGAGTGGAGGAGAAAAGAACATCAAAAGCAAAAATTACATGTGTCAAGAAAGGCAAAACAAAGCAAAATGCTCATCTTTGATTTCTTTGGTTGGCCATGACTTCAAAAGGTGTCTGTTAGGATTTCCTTCAACAGACAAACTCTATTTGTGATAAACTAAAGGATGCAGAGCAGATTTATGCAGAGAGAAACATAAAACAGAGATCTTTGTATGAGAGCTTTAGATAGGAGAGTGAGAGAGAGAAGAGAAGGAGCACACACAAGCATTTAACGAGTTCACGCCCATTAACAAGGGTCGCTACATCTCGCCGAGAGTATGCTCGGAATCCACTAGAACAAAGGGATTACAAGAGGTTACAAGTGATTCTCCTAAGAACCCTTCACTAGTTAAAGGAAACCACTCTGTAAAACCCCTTAGAAACTACCCAAGGCTTATGCCTTTACATCTTGTTTCTCTCACCCTTACGATGCTTCTTGTGTGCTCACACACTCTCACTTCTGCTCTACCTTTTTCTCTCTCAGACCAATGCTTCTATTTATGAATGAAGCAACCTTGGTCCTTGTGCAGCTGCAAAACGCCAAAAGCCTTTCTCCCTTACAATTATGATAAGGCCAAACGCATAGAGACAAATAGTCCTGCTTTGTGCTCAGACCTATACACCAATAGTAAGCCTTCTCTTTGTGGTCCAAAGTCTCCTAACTCAACCCCAAGTAAACCTTACTCAACCTGAGTTCTTCTTTGGTTAGCCTTTGAATATTGCTAAAACTTGCTCATCAAGTTCTTATCTTCACAGTGTCTGAGGGGAGTTCTTATTTACTTCCTTCCTTCAGAGTTTGTGGTGAAACATCTCATTGTCTTTGATGTGGAAGGAGTTACCAATGAGTCACATGATTAAGAGAAGAGTCTTGTATGGTCCCTGTATAAAAACTACAATCTGTTATATTCACAACAAAATGGTAACAGTTGATAGTTTTCTGGTATATAGTTTTACTAGTTGTCTGTTAGATACTGAGATCTTTCATTGAGAAAAAGGAACAAATATCACAAGCTCATCACAAAGGTAATAGTCTAATTGCTCTGGTTTACATAATTCTTCTAATGTTCAACTCCCCAAGTGAAACCAGCCAACTCCTACCTGCAAATACGTAATTCTCTAACATGTGACAGGACATATCTAACGTATGTTTTCATCAGCATCTCAAACACAATATATTATTTTGGGAACTAAATCTGCAATGCTAATACGGTCTTATAGGTTCCAGACAACTTCACCTACAGAGGAAATCAGATCAAGCTGGGAAACACTGAATGTGCTTGTTTAATGTTATAAACATTTCCATCTCCAAATCAGTGACTATTGTTTTTTTCACTAAAGGTTGAACTTCATTGTTTGGTGGGTTGAGCCAGCCTATGCAGTAGTGCAAGACAAAGGCGACTCTTGAAAGCCCAGATAGCAAGCTATCTTCACGGGCCTTCTCCCTCAAAAAATAGAGTTAATATCGTGTGACCCGATGGACCACATATCAGATATTAAACTGATAAGAACAGATACTACACTTGATCTTAGCCAAAAGGCCGAGAAAGGTATGAATTGTTTGATCCATCAAGCTTTCTTTATATACACAAGCTTCCAGAGTGAAAGGTTCTTAGTTTAGCGATGTGGGACAAATAACCAAACCTTCTTTTTTCTTAATTAACTGCAATAAGCAAGAACAAACACATCGTAAAGAACTTGTATACACTCTCTCTCGCAACCAATATCAAGGTCTTTCCATGGTGTTTGAGTTAGAGATCTTCCACACACACTATTGTCTTACCTTAGTTTTGATCAACTGCAGGTTACATGAAAACTCATATGTTCATGTAATCAGAGATTGAGATAGAATTAAACATATCACACACTGTAAAACCACCCAGATGCAAGACGAGAAACAAGCGTATAGACTTTCTAAAATTTTATATTAGTTTCTGTAAACTAGCGTTTGTTTATTAAACCAAGCTAATAGTTGTTTATATGTTAACAGATTTACTCTGTGAAGTTGCACTTGCTGATCTGTTAAGCACTATTTAGGTCTCATGAGTAACTAAACTTTAAGTGCTGTTTTCGTTTGTCTTTGTTGAGACAGAGACATGTAATAATCAATGTTTGTGTGGGGGTGTCTACCTGTTGTTAGATGTACCTGACGATTTCTTTTACTGTAAAGGCTCCTACGCCAATGTCAAACCTCTTCTCATGTCTTTGGTTTTACATCACAAGATCAGTTATAGAGTTTTGCATACACATACTATTACCCCTAAACATGTTCAAGGTAACATTAAAAAAACATATTAGAGGTTATATTCTTTAGATCACAACGTTCAAGAGAAGAGACTGAGCCAGTTGCTAAGCTGCGGGTTTGTGTCATTCTGTGGAGGCGACATAATCGAGAACCCAACAGTCAACAGCAATGGGGATGTAGCTCAGATGGTAGAGCGCTCGCTTAGCATGCGAGAGGTACGGGGATCGATACCCCGCATCTCCATTTTGTGTTTTCCATTTTTTTTTTAATCATGAGACCTTGCTGTTAAAACCCATTACATTGGAAGTTTGCAACTGTCAGAAAGATGAAGTTTATAACTGAATCAAGTTTCTCAATGATCACAAATTCACAATAAAGACACTCTACAGAGATGTATACATAATTACATATATCAGTAAAGATGTAAGTTTGCAACTGATATATGTAATTATGTTTCATTGGAAGTTTGCAACTGTCAGAAAGATGAAGTTTATAACTGAATCAAGTTTCTCAATGATCACAAATTCACAATAAAGACACTCTACAGAGATGTATACATAATTACATATATCAGTAAAGATGTATGTAGAATTCACTTCATACAATCATACTCTTTTTAAGATGTATGTAGAATTCACTTCATACATTTTTCTTTCTGGGGTGTATCAACATGTTACCATGAATGAACTCCTGACCGCAACTCTAACAGCACCGACCACACTCAGTTGCTTTGTCTCTGGTCTAACTTCTTTACATTCAGAGTTTCTGCAACTTGCTTCCACCTGAACACCCACAAAATATGCTGTCTGATACAAAATACATAAACTTGTTAACTTCTCCACATTCTGACAAGTAAAGAGTTTCTTTGAAATTCATATACCTTGCCTGAAGCATTACGAACTGGTGATATGTGAAGAAGGTTCCAGAATGTGCTCTTATCTTTTCTGTTACTGATTAAACATAAATGATCAGAAACAATTAAACAAACAAAGATTCTTTTGTACAAATGTTTTGAAGAAATACAAATCTTCAACCTGTAATTTTGTACTTGCACTGTACATGGTTGCCTCTTTAAAATGCACTCCTTCATCTTAACCAAAAAAAAAAAATCATTTTCATGAAATTATTAGTTAGAGGTTGAAATTAATCACTACCTTATATAGTACTGAGGAATCTGAATCAACCCCATTCAGAAATCTACAATTTTGTCCCAACACTTCTTCTCTCTTGTAACCTACAAAGAGATTTTTATCAAATAAGAACTGAGCCAAAATCTAATAAAACCAAAATAAACACTCACCAGTCAATGTCAAAAAGGCATCACTTGCATAAACAATAGGCATATCAGGTAAGCATGGATTGGTTCTACAAAGTTTACCAAAACAAACATCAGCAACAAGAATCTTTAGCACCAGACTATTAACTCCATAACAAAAAAAAAAACAAGAACCACTCACAACACAAAACTTTGTTTGATTCTACCGAGAGATATAACCAACGACGAGCTTAAACACTCTGCACCACGCAAACAGTACCGCTTCTCACACACTAATCCGCCAGCGAACTCACTGTAACGCTTTAGAATAGACAACACATTGTTAATAGCTTCCACAGCTTTTAACTTCTCAGACTCACTCGCTTCACAGTGTTCCCAATCCTCTAACCCTGCCATTACAACAATGATTCAGACCCTTTTATCAATAGCTAGAAAGAACCATGCCATTGTGTCAGAGGTCCCACTCTGGGACGGAACTAATATTAATGGGCCTCTCGGCCCCTAGATAATAAACAAGTGAAACCTGTTAACTTTGGGTTTATTACCGGCTTCCAACTTAAAACCAATTAGTGATAAGTGGATTGGCCCTAACCCTTTATATATTACTCATGTATCATTCATGTTTTCGATGTGGGATCTTTAATCCCAACATCCTCCCATCCATCATACCCCTACCAAGACAATGCTCGATGTGGGATCTTTAATCCCAACACCCTCCCATCCATCATACCCCTACCAAGACAATGCTCGATGTGGGATCTTTAATCCCAACACCCTCCCATCCATAATACCCCTACCAAGACAATACTTTTTTTTCTTCTAGCAATTTCGATAGAACTGAGCCTTCTCTGGGCCATCAGGTAATGGGTTGATCGGGCCATTTTCCGGGCCGGATTAATGGGTCAGGGTGTGGGCCGACTCTGATACCATGTTAACTCTGGGTTTATTATGGGCTTCCTACTTAGAACCGATTGGTGATAAATGGATTGACCCTAATCCTTTATATATTACTCATGTCTCATTCATGTTTTCGATGTGGGATCTTTAATCCCAACAAAACCGAACCTTGTTCATTGCATTCCACTTGTAAAACTCGTTTCCGTTGCACGAAAACCTCTCCCCGACAAGAACCAAACACCATTTCCGACATATCTCCGTTTGTACGATGTTCTTTTCGCGAGATAGGGACCTGAACCCCTACGAAATGGATCACTCTCCCATCGTCTTTCTCGAAAACAGGAACCATATGAAACAAGATCCAAAACGGTGATCCGGATTTGCGGTAATTCAACAGGGTCACCTGAACGGATCTCTCTTCACGTATGGCTTCTCGAATCTCCATGACGGATCTGCGGTTAGTCTTGGGACCTTGGAAAGCTCTCCCGTTTCTACCGATGACTTCTTGTGGAGTGTACCCTGTCATTTTGAGGAAACCGGGGCTGGCGAAGACGATCGGGTGACCCGAGAGAAACGGGTCGGTGATTGTGAAGTTGTGTGGAAGCTCCTCTAAAGCTTCTTTGGTCCATAAGGAGTAACGAGCGTTGAATGATTCTTCTTCTAACGTTATGGACATAGTAGTAGCAAAACACTCGAAGGCTACTATCACTGTTCTTGTTCTTGTTCTTCTTCTTTTCAGTGCCAATGGGACATGTGGGTTTTGACTTTTGGGCATGGTTCTGTCCGTTCTCTATATAAAACATTTAAAAAGAAAAAAATTAGATATTTTATTCCAGTTTTTTTTTTTTTTTAAACAAGTCATTGTTAAATTATATGCAATTAGCCATGAGGGTTTAGGATAAATATAAGCTTGATGGTAGGGTAGATGAACAAATAGTATAAGCGTGGTCCATCCCAAGTGTTTTAAAATAACCATATTAAAAAAAAAACGAGTTTATTTTCAGAAATATCAATTAAGAAAATATGAAAAAGGAAAATAATTAGTTTAAAATATGTTAGGGTATAAGATATCACTACTTGAATTAAAAATTTGAGTGTTTCATAGTTGAGTATTAAATCAAGATTAATGTTAAGATCATACCGAATATTTGGATTCGGCTTTCTTATTATTTTAGGAGTGTGGGGTCCTATAAACCGTGGTTCCACGTAGACAAAGGCAAGGAATACGACGAACAAGTCTCCCTCCTGGCCTCCACCATACCTATCTTCTGCCCATGTGGCTTTCGCTTGAGTATCAAATCGAAGCAGCCTCGCTTACATGGCATGCACTATAGCCTATCCATCGAATCATCCCACGTATCCCACTCATCGGTTTTACGGACTGGACTAGCAGCTTAATTTCAGCCCACTGGACTCTATTCATTTGTTTGTCGCAGCAACCGCACAAATCACAAATTGTTGTTAGTTTTGTTGGCGTAGGATTGATCGCATGATCGGGTCATAGATAGATTGTATGTCGATTATAATTTGTTTTGATATTGGGCGACTAATTGTGTGATACTTGTAACCAATCGAACATGTTTTGTAGTAAACACTATTGAAACTGTTGTTGGTACAAACATCCTTTCAAACCAACCATGACAACCAATATCAGAAAGTTTAAACATAAAGAAACTCTCAAAACCGATCAAGCACTACAAAATGAGGAAGCCAGTAAAGGGTTTTCACCAACGTATCAATAAAAATCCTGCGGTTGCTTTAGACAGCTATATGTCGTCTGTCATTTAAGGTCCGATTGTTTAAATAGTTTTTAGAATTTAAGTTTTTGGTCTAGTTTATAGATTTTTTCACTAGTAAAAAAAATTGAAATAGCAACGAAGTTGCTACGGTAATAACGTAGCTAAAAAAAAAACAGCTACGATTTTGCTACGTTTAGCTACGGAAATGAAAACGTAGCAAATCGTAGCAAATTCGTAGCAAATTTGCTACGTTCGTGCTACGAAAATAAATCGTTGGTATCACTTGCTACGATTTTGCTACCAAACGAATTGTAGCAACTTGCTACGACCAAAAACGTATCAATTTCGTAGCAACCCACTGGAAAAAAAGTGTCGGTAAATAAATACAAAACAAAATAAGCTACAAGACATTTTCGTAGCAAAGATCGTGGTTTATTTTGAATGCAACGTCCCCTCATTCCGACAATGTGCAGACCAAATAATTCAAGATATTTTGACCTTGCTACGAATAATTTTCGTAGCATATTTCGTAGCATTTTTCGTAGCATTTCGTGGCAGATTTCGTAGCAAGGTATTTTATATAAAAGCAACCGAGCACTTCACTTATAC